AAAAGGTCTCCAAATTAAGGCCGATTAGTTTAAAGAAATAACTTTCTGTTGCGGTCTCGGTTTATAACGAACCCCGGATATAGCGAACGAAGTTTTGGCCCCATCCAATATCTTATACACTTATTTTATATAGTTGTAGAGAAATTCCAAACGCATGAAAATCGGATATAACAAAACTTAAGTCCTTTTTTTTTTATTTTTACAATTTTTTCCAGAACTTCTCCATTTCTGACTTTTGAAATCATCCACGGCGATTATGACAGCAAAAAAACACTTTATAATGCTTTTTTTTTTTTAAATCTTTCTCTCTACCTTTCGTTCTTTCTTTCTAAACAACCGCTATGCTTTTACACATTTTTGTGAGATAACGCATTTTTTTTTATCATATCGAACTAAGGCACCAAACTTTCGTTTCCTTGACGCTCGTTATAGCGAAGTTTGACTGCAGTAAATATAACCCTTTCTTTTAAGATGAAGGGTCCCAAATGTCTCCAGGTCAATAGGGTCCCTTAAGCCTCGTTTCTATTAATGTGGTATAAAGGCGAAGCGTTATTGGGAGAAAATTATGTGCAGACAGACGACCGTTCATGCTACTACTTGGGTCTGCGCTAACGGAAATTCGGTGATCAATCTCATTTACTGTCACCAAATGTCTGTATATTTAACTTACGGGATTCGGAATCTTGAGATACATAATTTCCATGTTTGGTAAAATTTATTGCTGCTTATGAGTTGTGAAAGTAAAGGCTATAACCAGTTTTTAGACTAGCAAGTTATAATGCATATTAATAATCTCTGAGTTTAAAAATAGCTCATACTTTAAAAATGCAGATCTGTTGTAGAGAAAGGTTAGCAATACGTGCATAAAATTTTATATGCTTTTCAATGGATAGAATTGATTGTATACTCTAAAAATATGCCTAAATTTTAAGAGAGGAAGGTAATATGTAACATCATATTTTAGTGATAATTACTCAAACCCAAAATTAATGCTGTAAATTTGAAATCAAAGGAAGAATATGCAGCGTAAAATTTTAGCATCAATATTTTTTCAGAGTCATACCTGGATATTTTATTAAAAATCTCGTTTACGTTTTAAAATGCACTACCGTAGTTATATTTTATGCATAGCACGTAAAATATTATTTTTAATTTATAAATTTTAAATTCATAACCATTTTTGCAGGAGGAGTTATAAGAGAAACTTTTTTTCCCTTTTTCTATGTTTTTTTTAAAGGAACATCTGAGCATAATAAATACTCACAAGTGTTAATGCAGTGATTTAAAAATACATTCTGTACAATATAAAAAAACCATTGCAAAGACATTGCATATATATGTGCATATTCACATAAAACGAAATCACGAATTACATAAGCAGTATGCTTTAAATTCTGGTTATGTTATAATTTTTTAAATAAATCCTTAAAGGAAGAAATTAAAATAAATAAATAAAAATATAAATAAATTATAAAACGAAAATATACCCTTTATCAGGTTAGAAAACAGAGTTGAGAAAATTGCAGACAGAGTGGGAAAAAAAAAAAAAAAAAAAGAGTTCGAGATTCGTACTCTCGAACACCAAAAGTCTACCACTCTGTTGCTTTACTTCCACGCTCTCGTCATAAAAGTAATAGCTTTTTCAGATTTGGCTTACATAGACAACTAAGGTTTAAAACTAAATTTTTGGTGCGATTTGAATGTGCTCTCACCTAAACAAATTCACCACAGTTTGTTTTTGAGCTTCTAATGCATAGCCTAAAAATAGATTTTTACAGTGTTGTTTAAGTTAGACTGACCTCTAAAAAATGTATTCAAAATAAAAGATCTGTAAACAAAAAGTCTATTTATAAATAGAAAATTTAAAAATTTAAAATTATTTTTAATGAAATAGAATATTTAAAACACTAATAAATTTATTTTCTAAAGCACGTTATTAACTTTGCATCCGTTTAAGAAGAAAAGAAAGAATGAAATTCTGCTAATGCCGTATCACATTTGCTATAGCAGTCTGAAATAGTCAGAAGTCCATTTTCTTTAAAAATAAATGTGTATACAGAACTAGGACTAAGATATAGTTGTAGAAAAATAAGTCTCAAGAAAAATTTTGCTAATTCATTGCACTTGAATTATATTTTTTATATCTGAATTTCTTAACGCTAATTACTGCTTTGTGCAAACTAATACTGTGGATGCCGTTATCTTTTTCTTTCTTTTAATCTAAATTCAGTCGATTGCTGTCTTTTTCAGTACGGCGATTTCCCTCTATAATGTCGTATTTTTTACGTTTAGGAACAACTAATATTTAACAAAATATTCTTTCCTTCAAGGAAAGAAGGTGGAAGTCCATCGCTGCTTCTGCGCCATTTATTTCTCTATTTTATTTCTTTATATATATATATATATATTTTTCTGATACATTTTGATTGCTTCTCTTTTCATCACGTGACCCCCAACGCTTCCGTAGACATAACGGATAGAAGTTAATCACAGTTCAACTCCATTCAGTCCGTCTTCCGTCACCTCATCATAGATATCATTACTACAAAAATCAGTTCATTCGCTGATTGGAGAACCACACACGCAACGCGTTTAAATGGAAATGGGGCTTTATTTCATAAATCCGTTACTGCGTGCCCAACAGATGAGTGCCATATTTTGGACCTGTCTTAAAAATGAATTCAAAGGTTAAAAACAGAACTTTTGAAGGGGCAACCTCCTGAATGAAAATTTTGAAGGTTTATCTAAAATTTGTCTCTTTTTCCTCTTTAAATGCTATGTGTATTTGACAATATATTTTTTAATTTTAAAACATAAGACAGGTATGGTTGCAATAAGTGTCTTCTGATCCCCCCCCTTCCCTCAAAGTTTAAAAAAAAAAAAAAAAAAGGGTTTTCTCAGCTACCCGATTAATAATGAAATAATCTAACTCTTTGTTTGGTAAATTTATAGCTGACAAGAATATGTTCAATTCTGCAAATCAGTGCTCAAGGCAAAATAACGATTCTAATAAATTTAGTTTAGGTAAGTGTCTAGATTAAATGTGTTTCCAGGATCGCTGTCCTCAACAAGCTAAGAATGCAGCAGACATAATATGCTAAATAACGCATTAATGTCACTTTGAGCCTTGAACCTCCATTTTGCTGCAGGCCTACGGTTTCTTGGAATCTTTTCATATAAATATATATATACTTACCAATAGCCTTTTTGTGGTAATTCGGTAAGAAATGGTGTTAAAAAACACCAACACCCGAGGGCGAGAATCTACTCTTGAATAAGCAGGTATTTTTCGTAGTCTAAAGCAATTTATGGCACTGAGATAGCAGTTTGTGGATGCAGTTATTGTCCAGACGTCCATCACATCGGATGGATATCTGGACAATAATTGCTCAATACTATAAATTTCTGTAGACTACGAAAAATACTTGCTTGATAAATTAACATCTCTTTCTTTATTTCATTAAAATTTTCAATAGAGTGGTAGATATGGGTGGAACATTTTATCAAAATTTCAGCAGTTAGTACAATATTCAGTAACCAGTTATAGTAGATAAATCCAAGGACGAGAAATGGAAAGGTAGTTAGTTGAATAGTCAGTTGGTTGGTCTGTTTTTTAAAACTGATTAAATACGTAAAAATTCTCCGAGGAAAAGTTATAAGACAGAGTTTTGGAACAACAATAATTATTAGATTTAAAAATTTAAGTAAAATTTCACCAAATAAACGAAAGATTGGAATAATAAAAATAAACTTTGAAAGCAAGAAATAAATTTTCTTTTTTTCTTTCATCAGTCGAAGCAACAGATTTGAGTGATCAGGCGTAATATTAAATATCAAACTTTGGATATTTTTAAAGAAATGGCGATTGCGAACAATTAAAACTGCCTCAGAAATCTAAAGAATGGGAAAAAAATTATTTATTATATATATTGTAGGGTTTATATTTATTTTAACTAACATTTATTTTAAGCTATCTTTCCTGTCAAGCCTTTACTTTCCCCTGGAATTGCCAATGCCAGAGTATGTAAATTTTAGTAGGACGCGCAGAGTATTCAAATTTTTAGCAGAAGTAATTTTGAGTTAAATAGAAGGGAAGCGAGATTTGTAAGTGTGCTTCTTGATTCACGAGCGTTAAGGTTGCTTGGTAGAAATTTAAGAACCGCGCGTTTCGGCCTGTGTGCCTACTTCGGCAGTTAGTTGAATCTTTCAACTTCTTATTCAGAAAGTTTTCTGAAATCTCAGCTGTATCTTAGAACGCGGTTAAGTTAGTCACGTTTATAGAGCCTCGTAGATAGTGACTTCGCTAGTTATGCATCCTGTTATTTATTTTTAGTTGTACTTTTCTATTTTTGTTACACCGCCGGGTCGGCGTAGTTTGTGAGCGTCAAGTGAACGCAACTGTAATTTCTAAAGTGAAATAAAAAGGGATTAAACCCTTCTTACGAGTTTGTGTAATTTCCAGTTCATAGCAGTCACTACTACTGTTGAGGACAAGTTGGGGCCACGCAACATCACAACATATATATTTCAAGTTTTGAATAGGTATTTATACAGGAAATTTATTTCTAAGTCTATTTATAAAACTTATAATTTTTATTCTGGTGGAAATTCCGTAGCGATCACTTTAAATACAGATTCAGTGCAACTGTTCCCTTTCACTGTTTAGTGGCAAAATATTGTATCGTGCAAGACTTTTACTGCAATATTTTTGTTTTTAGGCAAATCGAATTTTAACATATATTTTTAAATTAAGCCTTTAAAAATTATGATTTGTCTACAAAAGATCATTGGAATTTGAAATATATATATATATATATATATATATATATATATATATATATCAAAGGGATGTGCAAAAAATGCTGATGTTGCTTGTTAAAACTAAAGAACTATTATGCACATGTTTATCAAAATTTGACGCATTCTGAAAATTCTGGCGAATTCTATCAAAATGTTTGTGTTATTACTTAGGTACCTTGTTTTAAAACTTTCTCTCTCACCTTTTCTTTATCCAAATTGTCAGGAATTATGAGATCATCAATTTCAGGAAATTTAGGTAAGAGCATTCCAACTTTCGATGATAGTGAGAACTTCTTGGAAGCAGTCTGTAAGAAAAATTAAATAAAGTGCATAAGAGATAAAGTTACTGAACTATAAATATGAAAGTTAATTAATTAATAACTTGAAAATATTTTAATCGATTTTACATTTGATGTTTTATTTTTTAGGCTCAAATTATGTTGTATAAATAGTGATGTAGCGTAAAGAGTATACAATGGAACTATTTGTATCTTTTCCAATTAATTATATAGTTTGCTTAATTTTTAATTAAAGTCTATTATTGTAAATGTCCGTAATTATTTATAAATGTCTGGCTTTTGCCACTTAAGCTAGTAGTCGTCGTGCTACAAAGATACAGCCTATTAAAATGTATCGGGTGTTGAGAAAATATTTTGTAGCGAATTGGCGATAATTTGGAGTTTTCTTGAAATGGATTCTCGTTCAAACGTAAAATTCGTTTAGAGAATTTTTCGGAGTATTACACTAGTCTCTCTGCCCAAGCACTTGGTGAAAATACAAAAGAGAATTTTCTGGACTAATTGGTAGAATGTAGTAAATTTATACTCCAGAATTAACACACCTTTTGACATTAATTAATACTCAGTAGGCGAGTTTGTATTTCTAATGAGCATTCCGAATTCGTAAATTATAAATTTTCCACAGCAAGTAATTTCCTTCTCTTCCCCACGAGGGGAGACAAAATTATTATATTCGTTCCCGTGTTAAGGAGATTAGTGTGATCTTTTTGTTCTGCAAGTGCTATTTTTAATTATTTCCCTCTATTTTCAACAACTATTTTGTTTGGAACTACATTTAATGCTCAAGATTTCTTCATCATCCGACGTGCTGATTCCCGAGATCTACGCTATTCTTTAACATGTAACGATAGATACAATGCTCTTTTGTATTATCTGGCAATAATTGTCATTACAGATGCATAAAATAAAAGAAAAAAAGAGAAAAAGAACTAAAAAAAAATTAAAATCGGAAAGCGCACTTAAACCAAAAAATTCAGTTCAATATCGCAAAATAATTTTAAAATGAGCATATCTTTAGAATTTCCGATACACAGGCTGCGCGCTAGAGATATATTTTTTTCTGTACCGTCTTGCCATTGCTCGCTTTGAAAACTTTGAATTTGTTTGTAGGGTTTATATTTATTTTAACTAACATTTATTTTAAGTTTAAACTATCTTTCCTGTCAAGCCTTACTTTCCCCTGGAACTGCCAATGCCAGAATATGTAAATTTGAGTAGAACGCGCAAGGATTCAAATTATCAGCGGAAGTATTCTGATTTAAATAGAAGGAAACAAGTTCGGTATGTGATATTCTTACTTAGCGAGCGCGGAGGTAGTTAACGGGAATTGAAGAACTTCGCGTTGCGGCCTATGTGCTTGGCGGGAAGTAGTGGTAATTGTTCCAGTGAGCTTCAAGTCTGCTGAATTAGCAGCGGTATTGTAAAACGCGGTGAGTTAGTTATTTTAGAGAGCCTCGTAGTTAGAATCTTGTCTTTACTTTCTTTTCAGGTTATTATTTTTATTTGACTGCCAAGTTGGCACCGTCTGTAAGCGTCAAGAGAACGCAATTGTAATTTATTACGTTGAATAAAAAGGGACTTAAACCCTTTATAAGACTCTGTGGTTTATACAAGCTTTCACAGTCACTCTTGGTTGCGTGCAAGTTGGAGGCGCGCAACGTTATATTGGCGCCCGAACACTTATCGAACTGAAATGGCCGAAAACTGGATGGAAGCCGCTGGACAACACCAAGAAATACAACGCAGTTAGAAGGATTTGGATACCTGGTCCAGACTTTGAGAGCATCAATCAAGCCAAACGTCTATTTCGACGGAAAAAATTCGGTGGCGGTATTTCTCGAAGGTATAGAAAACCACTTTCAGCTCTAACCTGTGCCTGAAAGACAAAAAGTTGCCATCGCCACATCAGCACTAAGAGGACAGGCCGCGCTATGGTGGAAAATATAGGCAAATTTCTTCTAGGTGAATTTGGAAGCCCGACGTATACATTTGAAAATTTCAAAATATCGTTAGTAAGGCCTTCCCCATAGTGAAAGATCGCGCACGGCTGGAAGCCGAGCTATATAGTTTCTATCAACGGGATACAGCAGATTTGACGGACTTTATTTTACGAAAAATCAAGCTAACGGATATGCTGTATGGGAAAAACCCGATGCGGAGATTATTGAAATAATATTACCAAGATTGTTACCCGCTGTCCAAGACTACTTTGAAATTAGAAACCCAAACACATTGCAGGAACTTTTCGAATTGGCGGTGAAGTTTTTCAAAATCGCAGAATAGCGGAAAAAAAGCGAGAGGGGAAACATATTCTCAAACATACACGAAGGAAGGAGGAAACCAGAAATGGAAATCGCTCATATGGGTGAAAGAACTATCAAGCTAACGCATCGAAACTCGAAGGTCAAGGCCCAAAAAGAAAATTTGAAAATAAGCATCCGCGTACCCAGAAGACACATATTGAAAGGAAAGCTTTAAACGACTAGAGGGGCCTGTGAAAGGGAGGGTCCAGACCCCGGAAGTTTTAAAAAAACCCTCAAATAGACATTTAAATACAGTCATCGTAAAAAAACTCACAGCTACCAATTATACAAGTCCTGGTTGGCGATGTACCAGTAGAAGCCCTCATCGATACAGGAGCAGAAGGAAATTTCATGAGTGAAAAGTTCTTCAAAAAGAATTTTTATAGGATACGACTATTTAAAACCAGAAATACGGAAATTATAGCGGCGCAAGGAAAAACATGTCACTGCATCGGGAAAGTATCATTAAAAGTACAGGTAAAAGGAGGAAAATCTCAAGTATTAATTTTTGTGGTGAAACACTTGCAACACACTCTCTTATTTTAGGTATGGACTTTTTAAGGGCCGCGAGGGCCAAATTAAATTTTCAAGATAGTTCCGTGGTGCTGGAGATGGACCAGAGGGTGGTGGAACCTGTGGAGACACCTGAATTGGACCTTAGCCATTTGAATGACCAGGAAAGTAAAGCAATACAGCAAGTGGTGAGTAATTTTTTCTCATTTGTTTTCAGAAAAACCAGGAAACTGTCAAATCGTGACTCACAAGATTCAATTAAATGCCGAAAAACCTTGTAGGACTAAACCGTATCGCTATGATAAACAAAAAGACTTAATCATCGAAGAACATATTCAGGAGATGTTAAAGAATAAAATAATAACGCCCATAAATAGTGAGTACGCGAGTCCAGTCGTACTATGTAGGAAAAAGAACGAGTTTCCTCCTTCGGATAAAAGGGCTTGGAGGTTTGCTATCGATTATAGAAAACTAAATAGTATACTAAATTTCCAGTTTAAGTTTACCCTTTGCCGGTTATAGACGAGATCATTAGACAGATCAAATCGACAAGATATATGTCTACTTTGGACTTAACGTCTGGCTACTATCAAATAGCTATGAGACTCGAAGATATACACAAAACCGCGTTTATAACAAAATCGGGCACTTATGCATTTTTTTACGCATGCCCTTTGGGTTGTGTGGGGCCCCATCAACATTCCAGAGAGCTATGGACATTGTTCTAAAGCCTGTCCTAGGAAAATCAACTTTAATTTATCTAGATGATATAATTATAACGAGTAGTACGTTGGAACAACATTAATGACCTCGAACAAGTTTTTTAATTATTAAAGAGCCGGTCTTACAATTAACGCCTCAAAATGCAAGTTCGCAACTAAAGAACTTAAATATCTCGGTTATAAAATTTCGCAAAAGGGTATAGAAACGCAAGATTCAAAAATAAAAGCTATTAAGAATTTCCCACCGCCCAACACCGCCAAGAAACTTTCGTCTTTCTTGGATTATGTTCTTACTATCGATCTTTCATAAAAGATTTCGCTAATATTGTTGAACCACTCTTAGTAATCAAAAGAAAAAAGAGTAAATTTACGTGGACAGCGGAAGCTAACACAGCTTTTGAAAGATTAAAAGAAGCGCTTATTAATGCCCCTGTTTTAAAATTCCCTGAGGGGGACGAAAACCTGGAAATTGCGGCAGGTGCGTCAGACTATGCGGTGGGTGCGGTTCTTATGCAAAATAACCATCCGCTGGCATTTTTTAGTGAAACATTGAATCAGACACAATAGAATTATACAGCTACAGAAAGAGAAACATTAGCCGTATTAATGGCTGTACACAAATTTCGAGTTTATTTCGGCAAATCGCCAGTAACAGTCTTTTCAGATCATGCGGCTGTTGGTAGACTTTACTCGGGAAAAAACCTAACGCCCAGGTTAATAAGATGGGCTTTAAAACTCCAAGAATATAATATCACAATAAAATATAAACCGGGTAAGGAAAACAATGTAGCTGACGCACTTTCTCGTATAAAACTGGACGACGAAGGAAATGAACTTAAATGCGCTGTTGTTGACTTCAAAAATTTTAGATTCTAGAGATACGGTTATTACTGAACTGAAAGCTGATCCTGAATTTGGAAATATCTATGCTTATTGAAAGACCCCGAAAGCTTTGAGCACACAGATATCGATGCGATAAGAAATAGAGCAAAAACTATGAAATAATAGATAATTTATTATTTTATACGAAAACAACAAACGAAAATCTTGAGTATAAGCCAGTCATCCCAGCCTCGCTTCGATTAAGCATTTTGAATTAGTTGCACGAAAAAAAAACAGCGGGCCACCTAGGGGTCAGAAAGACTTTAAAAAGGGTACGCGAGGCGGTATATTTCCCGCAATTATACAAAATAGTAACGGCGTATGTCAGGTCCTGCAATCAATGTCAGTTAATAAATGATATTAATTACAGCCCGGCCGGGTACTTAAATAGCATTCGCGCTACATTTCCGAATGAAATTTTAGGCATAGATCTCCTTGGTCCCTTCCCCCAGAGCGAGTTAAATAAAAATCGTTTTCTTTTAGTAATAGTAGATCATTTTTCAAAATGGATAGAAATTGTTCCACTTAAACTAAACGCGCGTCAGCCAAAACAGTCGCAGATGCATTCTTACACAGATAC